CACCTCGTCGGGGACGGCCTTGTCCCGGTTGGCGGGCGCCCGTCGCGAGGATGAAAGTCACCTTGTGGCGACCTGCACGCGCGCCGGCGCCCTTGAATGCGATCATGCCCTCGTCCAGCGGAGCCGCCAGCGCCGCGGCCTGATCCCGGGGCACGAAGCCGACCTTGGCGCCGTCACAGAGGACCATGATCGCGTTCGCGTCGAACGCGTTTCCGGGCTCGCGCTCGACGGCATACACGCCGTCCGCGTCGTAGCAGAGGTGGCGGTCGATCGTGCTGTTTCGGCGGCAGCACTTCCCCTTGTCGCGGTCGTCCTCGTGTTGGCACGCGAACCCGTGCGACTTCGAGAAGTCGACCGTGAGGTATCCGATCTCCACCGCATCGGACGGCGGGGCGGCGGAAACGGCCCGCACGGGCTCTTCTGCTCGTGCGATCTCGTTCGCCGCCGCGGGTTCGTTCGCCGCCGCGGGTTCGTTCGCCGCCGCGGGTTCGTTCGCCGCCGCGGGTTCGTTCGCCGCCGCGAGTTCGTTCGCCGGCTCTGGCTCGTCCACTTTTATCCGCTTTGCCTCCCGCTCATCGACGGGGTTTTCGATAGTTGATGTGAGTTCCTCTGGCTGCGAATCGACCGTCAAATCGACGACGATTGGTGACGCTTTTTCATCATCATCGGAATGCGTGAGATCGATCATCGCGGGTGCCTGATTCTGTGTTGGTCCTCAGTAAACCGACGTCGATACGACGCGACGCCGCCGATAGCAGGACCCGCTGACCGACGCAGGCACCGCGTTGCGCTTGGTCGAGCAAGGTCAGGAGGTGCACAATCTGCCGCACTGTGCCGCTTTGGAATGCTGTGGCAACTGTGCTGTGGACATTTTTTTTTGCGATCACCAGTACTAGGACTAAGCGGGCGTTATGCGACAAGTGGGGGGGAGAAGCGGGGCGGGCCGAGAGCTCAGGAGGAGACCGCCGTCCACTCGGCGTCGTCGCAGGCGCACTCCGCGCCGACGTCGACGAAGCTGTCGTCGTCGTCGCCGCCGTCGTCCGAGGCGAGGGAGGAGGAGGAGCAGGAGCACACGGAGTCGGTCGGTGATGCCGCCGCCTCGTCCCTCGGCGGCGGCGCGAAGTACTCGTCGGCGGGCTTCTTCGGCGGCTCGGGCAGGCAGCACGACGCGAAGACGACCGTCGCGGACGCGGCGAGGCCCCGCGCGACGCACTGCGCCACGAGGGCCCAGGCGAAGGACGCGGCGAGCGCCGTCGTGACGACGAGGCCGCCGAGGCCGTAGAGCGTCGCGACGAGCGAGCCCGGTGGGGCCGCGGCGCGCGGCCGGGCCGGGCCCGCGGCGGCGAGCCGGCCGTCGAGGCGCCGCGACGCGCGGGACGCGGCCCAGCGCGCGGCGCCGTCGAGGAGGAGGGCGACGCGGATCAGCGCATCGAGCGCCCCCGACGCCGCGACGCCGGCGCCCTTGGCCGCCGCGCCGGCAGCCCGCCAGAGGTGGCGCAGGCAGGCGTGGATCTTCGGCGGCGGGCTCTTGGGCAGCTTCAGCGACAGGGCGCGGCGCGCGGCGCGGATCGGGCTGCGTTGGCGGCGGGAGCGCATGGTCGTCGTCGTCGTGGAACCGGGCGGGAGGGCGCGCAGAACGAACACGTTGGGCTCTGACTGCTACAGTTCGGCAGGATAAACGCGTCCGCTCGGCTTTGTGGGAATGTTCGTTGCGGATTTCTGAAGTGCATGTTGATTTCATTTGAAAACGGGGCAGCCCATCGTCTGAGTTCGTTCTTCTGGGAGCGTATTATGGCGGCTCATACCGCGCCAAACCCCCGGTAAACGCAGGGAGCGCCGATCGGGAGCGGGACGATGGCGGCGCGGCGCATCTCCAAGTCGTCGTCGGTGGGCGAGGAGCTCGACGAGATCGAGTTCGAGGTCTGCAGCGCCGCCGTCGTCGCGGACCTCCCGAGCGCCCTGCCGGCGAAGCAGCCGTCGTCGCTGCGGCGCGCGCCGCCGGCGCTCGAGACGCGGGACCTCGTCGCCGCGGAGACGAACGAGATCAGCTCGCCGCGCGCGGCGCCGTCGCCGACGGCGCGGCGCCGGAGCCCGCAGCTCGCGGCCGCGCCCGCGGCCCGGCGGCCGCCGTCGCCGCCGCGGCCGCCCGGCGCGCCGCCGACGAACGCCGGGCACAAGATCTTCGGCGCGCTCTCCGGCGACGCGGCGCTGACCGTCTTCCTGCGCTGCTTCTCCGCGCGCGACTGGCGGTCGCTCGGCAACTTTGGGCTGAGCGCGTTCGGGTTCCGGAGCTTCACGTCCTTCGCCGTGGGCATGCGCGAGCGCCTCGAGCTCTGCCAGGAGATGGAGCGCAACATCCGGAGCCGCGCGGCCCGCGAGGGCCACGCGTCGAGCCCCCTACTCGAGCTCGTCGAGCCCGAGCGCGCGCCGGGGTGGAAATCAAATCTTCAACCCGACTTCAATGTGCGCGTAATCGAACGATTTGGGCCAGACCCTTTCGTTGTGCTTCGAGAACTCGACGAGAGCAATCGATTCGTCCAAAAATCAGCCAAATCGACTTCGATGTGACCGAGCTAGAGAATTTAAAATTTGGTGGGGACGTCCCAAACCAGTGGTCGATTTCCACACAGGCACGCGCGGGGCTGGCTCACGATCGTCGGCGAGGTGCCCGAGGACAAGCTCATCAAGTGCGTCGCCCTCGTCATCGCGCGCATCATCTCCGCGGCGAGGGACGCGACGGAGGCGGCGGCGCCCATTTTATCGAAGACGGCGGACGCCGTGCGCCAGCGCCTCTTCTGCGAGCCGCTGACGGCGCCCGTGCCGGGCGAGCCCTGGCCGCGCGAGCCCGCGAGCCCGACGTCCACCGTCGCCGACGACGACGGCGGCGGCGACGACCCGGGCGACGACGACGACGAACGGGGGCTCGCGGTGCTCGAGGCGCGCCACTCGATGCCCGCGGACGAGCTCCGGGCGACGGGCGCCGAGGGCCAGTTCCAGAGCGGCACCTGGGCCGGCGACCGCCGCAACTTCAAGCTGCTCTACACGCTCATCCGCAAGAACCTGGAGGTGCTCTCGTACACGACGCGCGTGACGTCGCACGGCCTCATGCTCGCCGTCGTCATCCTCGACCGCTTCCTGTCGAAGATGCGGGGCACCATCGAGCTCGACCTGAGCAACGTGCGGCCCCTGCTGGCCGCGGCGATGATTTTGGCGGTCAAGGTGCTGCGCGACAACCGCGCGAACGTCAACGGCGAGCTCGCGGCGACGTGCGCGGGCGTGCTCGGCGTCAGCGCCAAGGTCGTCCTCGAGCGCATCAACGCCATCGAGCTCGCCATGCTCGACGCCATCAACTGGGACACGCAGGCGCCGCGGTCCATCGTCGACGAGTTCGGCCCCGGCGACACGAACGCGATCAACATGTGGGTCATGGCCGCGGCGATCAAGGGCGACGTCGCCGACGCGGAGCTCGCGAAGCTCTGCCCGAACCACGTGGCCCTCCTGGAGCACGTGGACCACGCGGAGGACCTGAGCCTGCTCGAGACCGAGGTCAAGCAGCCGCAGCTGCCCTTCGCGATCCGCAACGAGCTGCTCCTCACCTTCGGCCACAAGTCGCAGCAGCTCAGCGCCGTCATCGAGCTCAGCTCCGGCGACCCGGGCGGCGACCCGCCGTCGCGGAGCCGCAGCGCGAGCCCGCCGCCGCCGAGCGGGAGCCGGCCCGGGTCGCCGTCGGCGACGGACCCGAACGTGCACCTGCAGAAGGTCATCGCCGCCTACGACAACTACTCGCCGGCCTGGGCGCGGCGCATCACCCACGAGCTCGCGAAGCGCGTGAACCTCGCGCCGGACCCCGTCGCGTCGGGCGACGGCCGGCTCTGGCGCGCGGGCTGCGTGTCCAAGTGGGAGCGCGAGGAGAAGGGCACGGGCATGGCGAACCTCGTGGGCCGCCTCTTGCACATCAAGGACCTGGGCGTCTGCACGGTCGTCAAGCACAACAAGACGAACCCGCTGAAGCCGAACCTGCCGCAGACGCCGGAGCAGCTCCTGTCGCCCTACGCGTACACGCCGTCCGCGGTCTACCCGCCGAGCACGCACACGGTGCGCTGCCGCGACGGCACGTGCCACGACATCGTCCTCCAGCGCGTCAAGCTCGGCGAGCTCATCGGCTGCCCCTACCGCATCCTCGATGACGCGGACCCGGCGCCGCCGGCGGACGCGCGGCCCGAGGTCGCCGGCCTCGCGCGCGCGGACTCGCGGCGCTAGCGGCGGACTCTACTTTATGGACGTTATCCTCGGGGTGTTTTGGAGGGGCCTTGGACTCGGCGGGGGGGACCGTCGCCGGTCGGTCGCGCGCGGGCGCGCCTAGGCGCGCATGGGCGGCTCCGCGGCGACGGGCTGGGCGTCCAGGATGGCGCCCTCGGGCGCCGGCGGCGCGCCGGCGGCCGACTCCGGGGCCGGCGGCGCGCCGTCGGCCTTCGTGGGGATGTAGCAGTTGCAGGGGATGAGGCAGCCGTAGCAGAAGCAGAGGAAGCAGGTGATGACGATCTGCTGGTTGCCCGCGTCGTAGTGGCACATGCCCTGGTCGATCTCGAAGAACATGTAGTCGACGACGATGGACGCGGCGATCATGTTCGCCTTGTCCGCGGGCGTCGCGGACGGCCCGAACTCGACGCCGTAGTTGTCCGAGTCGGTGCACGCGGCCTTGCACGTCTCGCAGCAGCCGCGGGGGCGCAGGTGCGTGATCGTGCCCGACGCCGCGGCGCCGCCCACGGTCGTGTAGTCGAAGTGGTTCTCGCAGCAGAGCTCGGAGCAGCCGCCGAAGCACGTCGGGCCCGTGACCTGCGCGTGCGGCACGGAGCCGTCGCCGGGCTCGGAGATGTCGAGCGTCGGCGTGCAGCCGCCGGCGGCGCAGCACTGCATGGGCTGGCGGATGTAGGCGAGGGCCTTGCCCGTGTCGAGCTCGCCGGGCTTGCCCTCGACCTTGCCCTCGTGGAGCACGATCTCCTCCGTGCACGCCTCGGTGCAGGAGCAGCAGCCGAGGCCTGGCTTCGTGCTGAAGCAGCAGCGGTTGCACTCGCAGCCCTTGCGCTCCAGCGTCACGAGCACGTTCGACTCGTCGTACGCCGGGCTCAGGTGCACGAGGAGGCTGTGGTGGGGCTTGCAGCAGCAGCGGTCGCAGAACTCGGACTCCTCCTGGCCCGTCATGACGACGGGGCCGTCCTTGTCGCCGATCTTCACCTCGAAGCGGTTCTTCTGCTCGTAGCACCCGCACGACGCGGCCTCGAGGCGGTTCACCTTCTGGTTGATCTCGATGCGGTCCGCGCCGCCGAGGAGCTGCGCCATGCCGTTGAGCCCGAGGCTCTGGCCGTGGCCCGCCGGCGGGAACGCGACGTTCCACGTCATGCCCGGCTTGTAGCCGATGGGGACCGCCAAATTCTGCGGGCCGCCGGGGCCCTGGACGGCGACGACGGTGCCGACGACGGCGCCCTGGGGGATGACGACGGCCACGGGCTGGAGCACCGTCGCCTGGACGATGCCCGGCTGGACCTGGCCCGGCGCCACGACGGCGCCCTGGACGACGGGCATCTCGGCGGACATGGCTTGTCTTACCCGTACGGATGCGAGTTGTGGATGGATTGTCCTCGCTGGCCGGGCTGAATATTTTTGGGATGCATCTTCCCGGCACGGTGCCCGGATGCTGCCCCGCATGAGGGCAGCCGTGCCGTGCGAGAGCATGGCTGATCTCGACGCCGGCGCCCAGCGCCGCGCGCTCGAGTGGGGCAGCGCGGCGCTGGAGACGGCGGAGCAGACCGTGCGCGCCTGCATCGCGCGCGAGCCGGCGGCGCGGCGCGCCTCGGAGCTCGCCGCGTCGGGGACGCCGCGCACGACCGGGCGGCAGCCCATGGTGCGCGAGCCGTCGCGGCGCGCGTCGGTGCTGCCGCAGGACGACGCGCCGGCCCGGCGCGACTCGCAGCTCCGGGGCGACGACGGCGCGCGCGCCGTCGCGCGGCTCGTGCGGCTCTGCTGCTTCGGCGACCGCGACGACTGCTGCGCGGGCTTCGCGCGGCTCCTGGTGCGTTTTTCGAGCGCCGTTGGGCAAAAAAAAAAGTTTTTTAAAATTCCGTAGGCCGCGGGCTGGCCGGCGCACGGCGCCTGCCCCCGAGGCGACGCGCTGG